AGAGTAGAATAATAATGACTGAGCCAATTTTTTCTGTCTTCTCTACTTATGTAATAGTAGCATAGGTTTTATTGCTTTATTAATCATTTTTCATAATTTTGTTGGGGAGTTTGTGTGGAGTTCACTAAAAAAATTAAAAAAAATACGATGTTGTTAAGTGATAGGCATAAATATGAAATTTCATAAAAATTATAATTGTATGGACTATCTTTTAGTTTGTATCGATCGTATAGATTATCTGTGATTTAATGTAGAACTATCCGTTTGTAAATCAGCTCCTGTTAAGTTATAACTGTTAAACGAATCGAGCTATTCGATAGGTCGGTTTGTTTCAATTCGTTCGTGTTTGTGAAAGATTCGTTCAAAACCTTAAACGAGCAGAATTCGAATGAATTTTTTTGTTCGATTAATAATCGAGCAAATACGAGCATGTTCGCGAATTTTGACGAACGTTCGCGAACATGAACATAATTGTCATTTGACAAATTTTAGGGTTAATTTTATGGCTGGACTTTTATATTTGGAGGGCAAATTTCTTTGTTTTATTTGTTGTTTTTATGTTTATGTTAGTTATATAGTTAATGAATAATAGAATTTAGTCACTTAGTGCTTTAATTGTTTTTTATGATGATTAATGATTTGTATGGAATTAGGTTTAAAATAATCTGGATTCGAGTTTTTCGAGCATTTCACGAATGACTCATTATATTAAACGAGTTGAACACGAATTCGAACATGAATTTTGCTTAATGAGTTGAACACAAACGCATGTTTGGAGTTCGAAAGTTAATAAACGAGCACGAATCTTGTTCGAATCGTTTAATGAACAGAACTCAAACATGAGATACTCGATTCGATTCGACTGATTTACAACTACTATGTTAAGTATTCACCAAGTCATAACAAAGCTATGCTAATGCGAACAAGTTGGTTGGAGGATAACCATCAAATTTAAGGGCTTTAATGTTCTCTTTTTTTAAAAAAAAAATGACTAGAAAATCTCCTCACAATCGGCTTACGCTACACCAATCCTTGTCAAGTAAATTCGGTTAGTTTGAGCATGTGCACAAAGCTTGCAACGTACATTGTTAGTACTTGTTAGCGTTTTTTGTGTTCTAAAGTTGGAAAAAGTTACAGACGACATTTTGTGGATAAGCATTTGAGTGGCAAATTGGTTTAGACAACATGATAAGAATGATATATGGTTGAAAGATGAACTAAATAATTTCATGTTCAAATCGGGTTCGGATTGGTAAGAGTTTTTTCGAACTTTATTTGTCAATAAAATAAGTCAAATTTAAACAATATTCTATATTTAATAATTTTCAAATTCGATAAAAAGTTTGTTCAAATTCGAGTCGGCAAATAAAAAATAAAAATTGAACAAAATTTCAATTTAGTTAAAATAATCCATCAAATTTGAACACTATAATAATTGAATTGGCTATGCTCGTTTACACCCATAGAATGATGTATTATGTATAAAATGCATAATCAAGACAACCCCTCAAGATTGTTTTGTTAAACATGTATTCTGTTATAACTTTTTGGACTAACTCTACTTTGAACTCCAGAACTTGTATCTCATTCTCGCATTGTACCTTAAATATTAATTTGAGACACTTTACATAGATTTATCCCATTTGAATCTAATTTATAATAAAATTATCAAAATAGATGACTGTGCACAAAACATGTATTTTGCGTGATTGATAGGAATCGCGAGATAATGGTAAATACACAATCACCTAATAGAATGATTGAGCCGTACTTGTGCACATGGTCCTCTATTCAGCTAGTTTTTGTGCACATGATTGAGCCGTACTTGTGAATTGTTATTAATTGGACTTAAGAGGACAAGTACAAAAAACCAGGATACAAAGTGTATAAGATTGAAACTTAGGGTGTAAAATGAAAATATGATGCAAGTTCAAAGGTGTAAAGTGAAACTAGTCCAAATTTTTAATGGCAATTCGTGACAAATAAAATGAAATGAAATTAAAGGAGCAACATTCCAGAACAATGCAGTCTTAGATCATGCCATTGGAAGTAAAAAGAAACTACCAATTTTCCCCATAGCCATGGGAGGCAAAATGGTTTTTGAAAATTTAGGGGGCAAAGTGGACTTACACCTAACTACAGTGGGGTTTAGTGTAATTTTGCCTCAACATGATCAATTGCAATTAAATATTCACCAAGTATTCCGAATTACATGTCAACTAATTTTCTTTTTATTTTGATTCCCGAATCTGGCCACAATTACGTTTAGCACCCAATAAAATGATACATGTCCGGGATCGAGCTCCGAATTAATGGGCTCCCAAGCCTGAACAACAGGCCCAAACATAACTCTGTCCTCTCTCCGTCACATCATATTTGGAAGTTACCATAAAAGGACAAACAAATTTGTCGTTTTGACTTGACCCTTTCAGCTTTAGCATAATAATAACGAAGAACAAGACACCATATGTAACTTTGCAAACAAAAAAATAAAAATAAAAATCAGCGGGTCAAAATTTACTCTTATCTAAATTTCAATCATAAAGTTCATGACTAGTTAAATATTCGGGACAAGAAAAATCGACTAATGTCATCGTTAGAATAGGGGTTTTTGGATCCTATGTTACACTTTTTGGTGTTGCATCCATATTCTATCATATTTTAATGTGATAGTTGTCATTTTATCTAAATTTGATAGCTCATGGAGAATTTATTTCAAAACATGGGATAACATAATTGTAACAACGAAAAGGCATTTTAAAAAAAAATCACTTTGAAGCGTAAATGAGGCTCCTAATTGATCATAAAAATATAGCAAAACGAGTACTTGCGATTTTCTTTTATATTTCTCAACAAGTTGCTACTCCATCACAAACAAAATTTTTACAAAACCAAATAGATACTAGTTGAATATAACATACTTAGTAATGGGAATGGAGTAGGTACGATTAACATTAAGGAAAATGACATGTTTCATCATTTACGTTTCGCAAAAATATTCTTTTCGTCCCTCACTTTTAAAATAAAGCAAATTCGTCCCTAACATTTAAAAATTAAAACTATTACATCCCTGAACCTAATTTTCAATCTGAATCAAACCATTCAACAACCTAGTAATAAATTTCGGAAATATAATTGATAAATCATTCGGTCAATTTTATTATATTCACATGACATTTAGTAAACGAAAAAAATAAAAATTATAACATAAAAGGTCATTCTTTGTCTTGGAATAGTAGAGTTCTTTTTTGGATAAATCTTTTCATACATCGTTAGTATATCCGCTTGCGAATCTAGATGTGTATCATAAATATAAAATTTGGTGTTTAAATTTAAATTGAAATGATATGGCGGTACATAAAACCGTCAGTGTATACAATGATAATCTAGGAAAGATTAATCTTTCTTTTTTATGTTATAATTTTTTATTTTTTATTTTTGGGTTCATTAAATTTTACATGAATATCAAGTTGAGTTAACCAAGTGATCTGCCAATTACACCCCCAAAATTTGTAATCAGGTTGATTGGTAGTTTGATTCAGATTGAAATTTGAGTTCAGGAATGTAAGAACTTCAGTTTTTAAATGTCAAGAACGAAATTGCTTCGTTTTTAAAGTGAGGGATGAAAAGAATATTTTTGTGAAATGTGAAGGATGAAACCGATCATTTTCCCTTAACATTAAGTACAATTGATATAATCGTTATACTTTTTTTTTTAGTGAATCAGTGTGATTTTATTATATTTTATAATTTAGTATACGCTCATGTGATTTTTGTTGTTCATTATAAAATATAATAAAATTATGTAAATGCAAATCAAATCATTAGAAAAAGCAAAACAACCATACCAATTATATCTATTATTAACCGTATCTCTCCCAAACCCCTTAGATACTACGATACAATATGGCAAATAGTAGTGTAAAATAAAGGGATTACAACTTATTCAAGAAATGTTTTACATTGTTTAAGAACGGGCGCGGCGCAGCGACAATATATATAGCTTCTGAATTACTCCCTATCGGCTAACTGTGCGACCTTAATTGGATTGGTATTGGCAGAGTCTGCAATTCTGCATCGTGCACAGCTCTCAAGTCTCAAGCTCCAAATCCAATAGCCTCTCAGGCCTCAGCAGAACTTTTTACCGAAGCAGTCAAAGTAAAACACTAAAACGGACTTGACGCTGGATGCAGATTCAAGAATGTGACGCTCATCAAAAAAACAAAGCATATGACCGTTGAAACCAGCTGTAAGGTGTTTACCTCTTTGGAAGACAACAACCTCAGCCTCAGCAATCACTGGCCTTTCTTTGTACTTTCGGTCCCACTCTCTCAGTTAAATCTATGCCCAGTTGTCCACATCTACATGCACGAATAAACACACAAAAAACAAACCCCCCCCCCCCCAATAGAAAGTAGAAACCTGAAGCCTGAAATGCGAGGATTCATAAACTCGCAACGGCTACCAACAAAAGTTCCTTTGCTTTGCTTTGGTTCGTTCGTTTCAAGAATCAAGACAAGACTACTCCCCAATCCCCCATAGTCCCATACTGCACACTTCACAGCCTTCACCGTAGACTGTGACTGACTTGGTTAAAAATACCAGTAAAGCTAAAAGGGGGTCATTTCCCAATGAATTAGATAAAATTTATTTTATTGTTTAATTGTAATACCAAGGGCTGTTCCAATGGTAGCCAGTAGTGTTTAGTAGTGGAAAAAGTACATGTTTTAACCTGGAGAATCCCAAATATAAGCTCCCTTTATATTTGTATAAACATGTTTATGAGAAAAATTTTTGAAACGTTTTCTAAGCTCCTACTATTTTTATAAATACATTTATCAGAAAAAAGCTCACTGTAAAGTTTTTCTTGAAAGTACGTCCGAAATAATCTGAATTTTCACAAGCAAAAAACTTTGAGACCATCCTAACGTAGTAATTTTTTTTTCTCCTTTTTTCGAAGCAATAGTAAGTTAGACTAATAATAATAAGGTATAAATGTATGTAAAATATCTAATTACTTGTCGGGCTACTTTATTCTTCGTAGTATCTGTAATACAGAATATGGTACATATTCACTTGGCAGAAAAGAGAAGGGATCGCCCCCCGGGGCTAGAGCGGGTGGTTGTAGCTCAGTTGGGCGAGAGCCTCCGCACACGTTCGAATTCCGGGTAACCATTGGTGGGATGATGCTGGGCAGACTCTCTCTCCATCCGCAGTGAGATTAGTTGGGGTCGTACGGTATTACCAGCCATAGGCCTAGATACTCAAAAAAAAAAAAAAAAAAAAAGAAGGGATCGTGTCAAAGAGGATGAATCATTAGCCGTTAGATCAATCTGACAAGAATTTAACGTGATTGATGCAGAATGAGAATCCATTTGCTCTTCTCTCTCTTTCTTTCTTCTTATATACCCATTTACTTCAGCATTGTCCCACTCTTTCTTTTTCTTGATCTTTGTCTCATTTCACAAAAACCAACGTATCCTCCTTCCTCATCATCTCCCCTGTTCTCCTTCTTCAACCTTCTGGAGTTTTGCTGCACCTTCTCAAGTGGGATTTGAATAAAGCTGCTATGGCACTGCTGTTTCTTCTGCTTTTGGTTGTAGTATCAGCTGCTTCTGCTGATGAAGGTAAGGCCTTCATCATACCCGTCTGCCCTTGCTTCTCCTCAATGTATGCAGTGCAGTACTTTGCTTGCTATTAAGTTCTTCTCTTGCTTGTCAAGTTGTCACTTTTAGCTTTCTTATTAAGTGGTTCGTGCAGATCTTTAAGATCCCAAATTCCTCTACTGAATGCTCATTCGACCTGTGAACAACGATGCATGAATAAATAATACTATCATTGTCATGTGATTTAGTTGTCTATGCTAGCTACTTAATTAATAAATAAAACCATGTTCCTGACATGGTGGGTGGGGCTGCATTCTTCTTAAAGTAAAGTTTATCACTCTCTTCAATTTGTCTTTGTCCCTCGGAAGCTTAGTTAGTTGGGTCTTAGTAGGAGAAAATAAATGGGAGGCTGGTGGGACTACATATCCCTCTTGGAGTTTATCTTCAATGGTCCATATTTAAAGAGCTGTCATTCATTGCTTTTTCATTTCCTCCTTTTAAAATGGCAAAAAAATGCTATTTTTGCCGGACATCTTATCATTGAAGCTTTGATAGTTTCACAGAGTACTGCTACTCACATAACATATTACACACCCTAATGACTCATCCAAATAAATAGAATGGATGCTAATGTTGAAAGTTCCAATGCTGTTATCTGATTGAATTATAGCATCAAATTAAGATTCTAATCTTGACATTCCCTCTCTATGCTCTGCTATACATTTGGTGTTGAGTCAGTTGAATATGTGGCTTCAGTTTCTGCAATCGCCTCAGCTGGTACAGATTTTCATGTGATACGAAATTTGGTGGTACTTTTGCACTAGAGTTGGCTCACTAACCTGACCAAGTAAAGCAACTTAATTTCTCTCAAGTTAGTTAAAGTGGGGAAAACTGAACAGTAGATTCCAGTGGCATCATTTTGAGTAGTTACTTGCATCTTCATATGGTACTAATAGATGCCAACAAGTGTGAGAGAAACAGGTTTATATTGACAGAAGAAGTCTCGAAATTTTGTTCTTACGACATTTATCTCTGCAATGTAGAAGCCTTTATTGGTGTGAATATTGGGACAGACCTCTCGGACATGCCAGACCCAACTCAAGTAGTAGCCCTACTTAAAAAGCAGCAAATCCGATATGTTAGGCTATACAATGCAGATCGTGGAATGCTTCTTGCGCTTGCCAATACAGGAATTAAAGTTGCTGTCTCCGTTCCAAATGAGCAACTCCTAGCAATAGGCCAGTCCAATTCAACTGCAGCTAATTGGGTCTCACAAAATGTTGTGTCACACTACCCAGCTACCAATATTACTACAGTTTGTGTTGGCTCAGAAGTTTTTACCTCTCTTCCCAATGCAGCACCTATACTTGTCAATGCCCTCAGGTTCATTCAGTCAGCTCTCGTAGCATCAAATCTTGACAGGCAAATCAAAGTTTCAACACCTCTTCCTTCTTCCATTATCCTCGATCCATTTCCCCCGTCTCAAGCCTTCTTTAATCACTCTTTGAACAGAGTTCTAGTCCCCATGCTTAGTTTCTTGCAATCCACGGGATCATATTTCATGCTAAATGTATATCCTTACTACGATTATATGCAGTCTAATGGTGTCATTCCATTGGATTATGCGCTCTTCAAGCCCCTTCCTGCAAACAGAGAAGTTGTTGATGCCAACACACTCCTTCACTACACCAATGTCTTTGATGCGATGGTTGATGCTGCTTTCTTTGCAATGGCATCACTTAACTTCACCAACATTCCTGTTCTAGTGACTGAGTCAGGTTGGCCATCGAAAGGCGACTCCCATGAGCCAGATGCCACAATAGAAAATGCCAACACCTACAACAGCAATCTAATAAGACATGTCCTGAATAAAACTGGAACTCCTAAACACCCTGGAATTGCTGTTAGTGCTTACATTTATGAGCTTTACAATGAAGACACAAGACCCGGACCACTGTCAGAAAAGAATTGGGGACTATTCGATGGTAATGGCGTGCCCATATATATTTTGCGCTTGACTGGATCGGGATCTGTATTGGCTAATGATACCACAAACCAGACGTACTGTGCTGCAAAAGATGGTGCAGACTCCAAAATGCTGCAGGCTGCTCTTGATTGGGCGTGTGGACCTGGCAAGGTGGATTGTTCTCCACTTTTGCAGGGACAACCATGCTATGAACCTGACACTGTTTCTGCACATGCAACTTATGCATTTGATGCTTATTACCAGAAAAATGGGCAGGCTCCTCTGGCTTGTGATTTCAATGGAGTAGCTGCAATCACCACTACAAATCCAAGTAATGAACACGCCACGTGTTCAATTATTCTCTTCTACATCAAGCTTAATCACACATGGCTTGGGATGTGATTTGCACGACTAATCATACTATCATCCTTTTGTTTTTTTGCAGGTCATGGTTCATGCCTATTTCTGGGAAGGTAATTTCATTCTCTAAGTAGAGCTCATTAACTGCTATAGAGTGGTTTTACGTAGTTCTGCCATTCGCACATTCTTTAGATCATAAATGATGCGAAGTCTCTACTTTTTCTGTTTTGCAGTAGTGACAAAAATGCGACGTTTCTGAACAGCACAGCGCCAGCTATGAGTTCCAAGAGCTCAGGTTCTCCTGCCCAGCAATGCAATCCTGTTTCGGCAGCATACTTCATGATAGTGGTGGTTTCAATTGCCAGTGCACTTCTGTTGTAGTATGCTAAATGCATTCGACTATGATCAGTTTGAGATGGCAGAGTTCCCGTATCAGGTTTTTGCTGCTGTACTCGCGATTGCTGTGACAGTTTTGATCTAAATTGTGTATTTTGTTGGGTAAAAAATTGTACAGCCTTCAACATTACAAGAAGGTGAATGGGAAAGGATATATAATATGACGATGGCCTTTGGCAGGGGAAATTTTTTGTACAATATGAGGCAACGGGGTGAAAAATCTCAGTTGAAAAAGGACATCTCAGTTATTCTTGGTGTTTCTAGGCAATAGGAAATTTAGGATGTGTAATGAAATTGGTTCCATTGGCCATAGCTCCCAAGTTCAGAATAAACTGAAAATATCATTATTCTTGTTCTATTCATTCTGGTCGTATCCATTCTTGTTATATTTGGTTTTTTCAATATTGATTTTTGTCAGGTTTTCCTGTCAACTTATAGGCTTAGAGGTAGCCATGGTTCCATTTTGAACCAACAGTAACCGGATTGAACCAAAAACCGGTTTTGAACTGCATCAGAATTCAAGTGGTAACTGTAGTCTGTAGGAAAAGGTTCCAGCTCTTGTTCTCTTAAAAAAAAAAAAAAAAAAGAACCAAAATTGGAACTGTCGGTTCCAATTCTGGTTATAATCGTCTCAAACAAAAAAAATATTAGTAACATTTCACAATGTGATGTGTTTTTCATAAAATTTATGTCACTTTTTCCTTTATTTGTTGGATAATAATAAATCAAATCTTATTTTTTTATATTTATTTTATTTACCTTCTCTTATTATTATTATTATTCTAAATCTATTATTTATTACTTTTGTATCAAATTTGTAATATTAAGTAACTAAGTATGGCTAAAGGATTTCGGAACTGGAACTGGAATTTGCGGTTCTAGAATCGCAATCGTATACTATCCTATAAACTATGATTTTGATTCTATCGTTCTAAAGAATCGGAACCGATAATTCCAAAACCGTGACCCACAATTTTGAAACCGTGACTATGTATACCTAGACTTGGCAAGCTATGTAATTCCACTTTCAACTCTTTCTACAATCTAAAAGGGTGCTTGTTTCACGTATTGGAATCGGAAATGGAAATAGAATCGTAGACTTTGGTTTTGGAATTAAGCTTTTCATTCCAATATCTAGCTTGGTTCACACATTGGAATTAGCATCATTCCAATTCCTGATGCTTGGTTTGATGAATATTTCGGAATTAAATGCAATTAAATTTCAAATTTACCCCTGATATAACAATTCTTATAAAACAAAAGAATTACACATACGACAAATTAACATCTCCATAATTATAACTACAATAGTTATTAACTTTTTTGATAAAACATAAGAAAATCATAAACCATAAAAAAAATTAATACCAGAAAATAAATATAATGACTGTATTAACAAGGAGTAAATTCCCAAAAAAAGGGAATTTTTAAACTAACTTCCCAAAGGGTGGCGATTTTTGAGTCTCTTCTCAAAGGGTGAAAAACGCGTCCAAGGAATACGTTCTTCCAAATAAAAACGCAACTTTCAAAAACGTTATTTTAATTTTTATAAATTTGTTTAAATATGAAAAATTGGTTAAATAGCGCATAATATACCGGCTCTTTATGGGAAACTGGCAGGTTTTGTAGTATGTTTTGTACCAGCTCTTTATGGGAAACATACCAGCTCTTTATGGAAAAAATTGGTTAAATAGCGCCCAAAGGAAAACTAGTATGTTTTGTATTTAACATAAATTAAATATGTGAAAGTTAAAAAAAAAAAAAGAAATTGCCCATAACATACCAGCTCTTTATGGAAAATTGGCAGGTTTTGTATTTAATGCGCTATTTAACCAATTTCGTTGGCCTATGGTGTCGTTCCTCTTCCAAAACATGAACGGCTCATCAGTCAAAATCTCAGAGACCTCAACAATACATACATGATTTAACCCCAGGCAACCTGTAAATTCAAACTATCTGTAGTTTATAAATGAAAGGGATTGCATTCACTTTTCTAAAGGTACTTTGTAGTCAGGAAAATTTGGTAAAATGTAAAACCAGAAGTTTTGGCTCAACCCAGATCATCCATTTCTTTGTTGGCCGAGGATTTTCCACAATCGGCCAAAAGATGTAGGCCAAATTCGAGAAGAACAAGAGTTGTTATGATCGAGTACCTCTTTATCGCTGAAG